GGGGGGAGAGAGAGAGAGGGGAGAAAAAAAAAAGAGAGAGCACTCTCCGCAGAGCCCCTTCCCAGGCTTCACCCTGGTTCGGGGGAAGGTAAACATGCCACATAAACGGCGGCAATGCATAGTATTGCGGGTTGGTGAAAAATCAAGGAACCATGACGGGGTCGTTGTAAGGAAGCCCTGAATGAGGCCTTTCTCAAGTTGATGAACGGTTGGGCCATTCCCATCATGGCAACTGTCCTAAAAAGGGGTCTCACATCCCCGTATAAAGGGGCTGGTATACCTCCCTATTGCTCCTAGTACCTCTCGTGGTAATTGTAACGTCATTTGGCAAGGGAGTTTAAGGCTTTAAGTCGCTCCCTAATCTGTAATCACGGGTTCCCCTTTACTACCACTACCTACACTACCCCGCCTATGTTCCCCCTCTGTTGACCTTATCCTCCAAGCCCTAATTGAGGGGGAACCTCGGGGTGTAGTCAGGGGCGGTCGCAGGGTAACCCATAATATCATTCAATATCATGAAAAATCCTCTGCGAACATAAGGCCAGTTCCTTGAGCTTCTAAGATCTCAACGAGGGACTTGGGTGGAAGGGTCCAGCTTGCAGAGTTTTCATATTCCGCAGATTTCCGTCGAGTGGAATTAAGGACAGCTCTGCTAGGAAGACCACCATGCAACACAACTGTGCTTCAAAACTAGCTACCAGAACCAACTCTTGTGACGTTGCTTAGGGCTTACCTGTAACCCGAATTACCTACTGCTTATTACGTAAAATATAGGTAGTTGGGGTTACAGGTAGGGCTTTGGGTTACAAAAGCCGGATCCCTCCGGGGAGCTTTTGGGCCGATTGTTCAGAGGTGCAAATAAATTGGTGGCATATAGACACTTTGACCCGAACTTTGATACATGAGCCCTTGGCTAAATGTTATGATATGTTCATGTGGGTGGTTGTCAAAATTATGGTCCCTTTTTTGGGTCCCTAGTATAATACGGCACCTAATATTTAGGGTACCCAAAAAGGGACAACCACCCATGTATATCCCTAACCACTCCCTCCTAGACCCCCCATACATCCCCTCAGGAGGTCCCCCCCCACCTAGCTGTAGTTGGTAGCTCGCATCCAAGTATCATGGCCGGAAGTCTTTTGCCCTGCGCAACAGGCTTTAGCCTGATTCAACTCCTAAGAGTCCAAGGACCCGAATATTAGGGCTGTCGGTCCCAAATATCACTCATGTTACAATATCTGGGCCCTAGAGCCCTACTGTACTGCTTGAGCCCGTGGACCGTTAGGGACATTTACCCCAAGCCGTATTCTTCCAAACCTGAAAACGATGGCCAAAACCTCGTCCCTCAACCAAGCAGGTTAGATTGGAATGATTTCGGCATATCTGCATGGGGCACCGTGAATCCTTGCCCCTTTGGTGCAGGTTTCGGATGAAAGGTCAAGCCCAGGCCCTGGACTTCCCTTTTCTTTTGCAACAGGCTTTCTGAACTTCCCTGTGTTCTGGACACGGTTTGGCATTTAGATCTTGGGGCTCTCGGGATCCCAAGTGCTAAAGTGCCGGGGGACTTACTATACGACCCAAAAACACCTTGAGGCCCGCACACCACAAGACGGGGGATAGGCCCGGATAGGCTTGATAGGTGGCGGGATTCAAGGTCTACACTGCTGATTCGAAGTGTCTGGAAGTGCTTCCTTATTTAAAGATCGAAGATTAGTACTTGTTTTCGAAACATGGCAATGCCGCATAAAACCCCTCACCAGAACAGCGTTCATCCATGAATTCTACTAGCACATGTGCCTCAACGCCTTATGGCAGGAGTAGTAAGCAATAGGGGAAGGGGACTACGTTGAAAACTGCAGTCCCACCGCTTAATTGCTTCCGTTCTGTAGTAGGGTCTGCGATCCCGAGCATTGGTTCGTGTAGTCCACCTTGGACCACCTGGCATTCTTGCTACTTGAAGAAAAGCGTAGGAAGAGATGGACGAACTGTATGTAATATGACCTACATAACGGATCGGGGCCCTTATGCAGGTACCTTCTCAACCCGGCCCTAACATATTGCAGTCCCAAGCTACGACCATAAATTTGACTAGCACCCACATGAGCTATAGTCTAAAATCCTAGTATCTCCCTTAATAAACCCGATAGTAGTGCCCTATAATCCCCCTTTACGGAGTGTAGACTATAGCTCACATGATCTCGGGCTTTTTACGTGAGATTGGTGTCTTCCTGCCTTTGGCAGAAACTCCAGAATCTCTGTCCCGGACGCAGGCGGTAGAAGCGGACCGTGCATGCCGCAGCGGCAGCGGACAGGAGTGAATAGACAATTGTTCGTGCGAAACCCCGGTTGCTTGCTCCGAGTCCCGCAACTGAGCCTATTGTTAGGCAGGCAAGGACAGGCAGGTAGAGCACAAGAGAAAGCAAGGCATTTAAAACAACGTTCTTACATGGATGTGCCCAACGATAACTGAGGTAGGCCGTCAGCTCCAATGCTATGATCACCGCAGCAGTCATGCCAGCTGTGTTCACAAAGAAGTGAGCGAGAACACTTCTCCAGGGCACCCTCGCAAGATACAGTGCCAGAAGTTCGTCCAGGCTCCCACCCACAAAACCACCCACTATCACTGGGTAGTACTGAACAGGTACCGTGAAATTCGATGAGGCTTGGAGCAACTCTTGTCTGAGCGTCCCTTGCACGTAGTGGTTGAAGGTTTCTGCAGTACCATACCAGTCAACAATTGCTTTGTATACGAAGTCGCGGTCACTCTGCAACCGACACTTTGCATGCTGCAGGTCAAAGGTGGCCAGGCCTTCTAATAGCAAATGTTTGTGGTACAGCGTTCTCCGCAGGAGGTGTACCCCCACGCCGAAGGGCAGCGTGATGATGACACGGAGGACATAAATCACCTGGGTTGCTGTTATGGAACTTAAACTAAGTTACCATAATGGGTATATGTATATATATATACTAATTCATAGGTTTCGACAAATATAGTAACTTAAATTCAGTTCCTTAACAGCAACCCAGTCACAGCGCCTTCAGTGAGGACTTCCACCGTTTGTGAAGCCAGAAGTATCCCTCCCACTGCAAAGACACAGGCCGACATGCTGAACGCCACCTGATGGTTTTTCAAACAAGCAAACCTTAAGGGTCAAAGGACCCAAGTAAGAGGGCCTTAAAACCCAAATACTAGAATATGAGTGGTACTTGGGACCTAAAACTTTAATATTTGGGTGCTTGGACCCTTAGGCAAAAGCATTGCACAACGATTGCGGGATGCGTTTGGTAGGGCCGTGACTTACTGGTTCTTAGTGGCGAATAATGGAATACAAGCCCTATATTCTCTCTATATACTATTTTCCTACATGTCCTTCTAGCCCCCAGTAAGGAGGGGGATAAGCCATAACCTGTTGTGTCTCGAAAGCTCTCATGCTAGTGCAAAGAAGAGTCCGACCCACTAAACCCCTAAACCTTAAACCCCAGCAGTATCCCTTTAAGAGCCTAGACAAATGTCTGTTGTGGGGGGGGGGTTAACTGCACTCTCCCCCTGATCTGTCCTCTGTAGGAACTTGATGTAGGTGATATGAGGGCTTACCCAAAATTAGATGGAAAAGAAAATGGAAGCTACTACTATGATATGTTGGGGTATATATCGGGATTTCGAAAAGAGTAATGCTTTGCAAGAATCCAGAGGCTATGACAGGACAACTTTCTATCTTCCTGGCTTCTCGAGACCTATCGCACTACCGCTTGCTGTACCGAACAAAGGGATGTGTACGGCATCAGCCAGTCTCACATGGGCACCCTTCTGCAATCCCGAACGGATTGAGGACCTGTACCTAGGAGCGTACAGGTCATCTGCTAGAATCTACCCACACATTGCCAGGGAATCTTGGATGCAATCATGATATTTGACTCAATTAATGAAAGACCCAGGGGGCCCAGAATCTTTCAGGATTCTGACTTGCAATTGCTTGAAATCTGGCTCTCAATCTCAGCAGTCTGGGCAACCAGAACAGCGAGCGGGAGGCGACATGCGCACAACATCAAAAGAATTGCCTGAAGCATTCAGCGATTTCGCTTCCTAGGTTCGATGAGCCTCAAGCCGGAGCCACCGCACGTTATACTCAGCCACACACACCTGACACGTTCGACGAATCCGCAACTTCGAGGTGAGATGATCACAACGAGAGGGCACGCACATGTATCTTGGACACAGCACCTGAGCACCAAGCCATTTTTGCAAACCTTCCAAGCCTTGGAACATTGGCCTTGACTTGCCTCCGCGCCACCCTCTCGCACGAAACCGAAGGGAAAGCGCAATCGCATAATCGAGGAGGGGGCAGACATATGTGATCAAAAGCAGGGCGAGAACGCTTGTCCTAGTAGCAACCCTAAACCATCAACCCTAACCCCTTAACCCTAAATCCTGAACCTTAAACCCTAAATCTCTAAACCCTAAACCCTTAACCCTCTTAAACCCTACAATAATGACACCTGTAACTTACAAAGCCCTTGCCCGGCATACTCAACCGATACGCTTGACGCCTCTGGAGTTCACCTTCCAGAAGAGAAATCCTGCAAATGCTCCTGGGTTTAGGGCTTAGGGGGCCTGACCCTAAACCCTTAACTGCTAAACGCTAAACTCTAAACCCCTAAAATGGAACTCTGATTGGAGAACCTGTAGACTCGAGCCAAGTAACCTAGTACTCAGGCCCTGAAAAAAAGAGCTTGCGACCCCAGTGACGGTCTCCACGAAGAGCGGGGCCATGGTGATGTTGCCACCTCCCATCGTTTAGGGTTTCTGGTAATTTCTTTTTATTGACGGGCCATTTTCCGCCCCTATAAACCCTAAACCCGAAACCGCGCTGTCTGCACGGGTCGGTTTAGGGATATGGGCATCTTTGAAATCTTAGGGAGTTTGGGGGTTTCCCATGAATAGGGGGACCACTCCTATAACCTTTTTCCTAGGTACCCCCTACGTTGGGAAAGGCCCATAAAACTCTAATCCCTAAACCCTATATGGTAGTTTCCCTAAACTGGGGGACCCTAATTTAAAGGTAAGAAATTAGAATCCTTATCATAGGGCCTTCTAAAAGGGTACTCCTAATTTCGGGAAACCCCCATATGTCCTTATAGATTATAGGGCCCGCTTTAACCAGCCAGCATCGCTTTAACCAGTCAGCATTTAATGCGGTCTGCAAGCACGAGATTGCACGCAAGAGGTCTATGTAGCACGAAATCGCACGATGCAGGCCAGATTAGTCCAAACCACATTCAGGGATTTCTGATTGATGTAAAGGCTAAGCCCCTAATCGCTAAAAACTATGTAACCCTGTAGAATACCTACAGCCTCCCCACTGTTGACGCTAAAAATCCCTCATGACCTGGGCACACTGCAACACCATTGTTCCTAGGGTATAAGGTACTTCGGGGCATGCTGTACATCCCTAAACACTAAACCTTAAACATTTTTGATCAGGAATCCCGTTCACACCTGGGTTTGCTCGCCGATACGCTGCAATCTCGAATATGCACCAGAGCCGGGACCTCGGCAATAATCTAACTCCTTATAGGGTTAGATAGGGTTATATGAGTTATATAGGGGCACATGGGGTTATATAGGGATAATATAGGGATAATGGAAACGAAAATGGAAACTACTATTGAAGGTGGGGTTATTTTGGGACTTAAAGTCTTGGAGCCCTCGTGCAGAGCATACTGACCCGACTTGAATTAATCTGAAAACCCTGCAATGTGGATGATTTTGGGCACGATCTCATGGAGGTTACCGAAAATTAGGAACACTTTTCAGTGTCCAAACACTAGGGATTGAAATGGATAGGGTTTACGTTGGGGCCCTCCCTTTGAGAAACCCACATCCTCAGATTTTCCCGACCATTCGGAGTGAGGCTGTTCTCATTCGCCATAATTACAGCAGCACACACGGAGCAACAAAATTCCCCGCCCTTCCTTGTGGCTCAGGGTTTAGGGAAAATTCCTGTCTTAAGCTGATAACGTTCGTTCGGCTTGGTG